ATGTAAAATTTTTTTATTAAGATAATTGATTCAAAATCGAAATTGAAACAAATTTTATGTAAAACATTTTTTAATAAAAGCAATAATCGTTGAGATAATTAATTTTGGTAGCATACTATTCAGAGGGAAATTAAAATTTCAAATTAGCAAAAAATTTTATTAACAAACACCGTTCCCAAAGTAATTCTAAACGAATTTTGTTAATAAAATTTTTTTATTTGATCAATAATTAAGAACATAATCTCAAAAAAATTTTTATATATACAGGGTGTTTCAGGTTTTTGTAGCAGGACTTTAACAGTCGATAGATCTTTTGAAATTAACACAAAAACTTCATATAAACATAGGTCGACAAACGCTTTGTTTTGGAGATACAGGGTGTTCAAATTAAATTTTTAAATTGATTTTTATTTAATATTACACGTGTATTTCAACCGATTCTTTTCAAATTTGATATACGGAGGTTTTTTGGCATGGGAAAGACGATTATTGAGTCCGTTTTACTATAGCCGGTAGAGGGCGCTCTGTGACGTATTCTTTACGGATTAAAATAACAATAACTTTTCTGACAGCATACTTTTTGGCTTTTTAAATAAGAATTCTTATTCTCGGTAGTTTTTTAAGCAAAAACGGTACTCTTATCAAAATGCGCTAAAGTTAATTGTTTTCAAGATAATCCGCTTTTTATTATTCGATACAGACCGATGTTTTTAGATAGTAGTTACAGATAGTTAAAATAATGTGTGCCATGGAAACAAAGTAGGTAAATTAACTTTAGGATATAACATAATATAAGGAGATATATTATAAAAACGAAAATTGTTATAAATTTTATGACAGCTTTCCCGCTCGAAGATTAATGTTGATTCTTACCTGCAATTCGAGTGATGAATCGTGAGCGGCTTGAGCAATCCTATGAGCGTGTTGAAAACTATCCAAAGCTTTATTAAATCCCGCCAATTCCAAATAAACCGATCCGACGGTTAAATGAACGTGCCCGGCGGTTGTGCATTGTTCGCAATCGTTGTAAAGAGAGTGTCGTGCGTAAGCTAGGGCTCTTTCGAGGGCTCCCAAACGCTGATGGCACCTGGCCAGGTTCAAATGCGATTCGGAACGCATCGTCGCGTTGTCTAATTCCTCGGATATGTAAAGTTGCCGATGGGCGAATTCCAAAGCGTCCCGGTATTTCCCCCAATCCATATAGGCCTGATACAGATAACCCAGTAATTCGAATTTATCCTCGCGTTTTTTTAACGATTTCAAAGCCGATTTCCATTTTCGAACGGCTTGTTGCTGTTTGTGTTGATTATAAAGTTTCACTCCTTGCTCTACCTGAAAAAAAATTTAAAAAATTTACAATTTTTGATTTCCCACTGAATAGTACAGCTGTGTTTTTAACCTTTCTTTTGGCTAGGGCTTGATGTATTTTCGATCTGCAACCGCTAAAACAACCCCACGTGAAAAAGGGGGATCTTGGTGGTCGCACTTCGACGTAATTATCCCGGTGTAAACTTGAGCACGAATCGTGGCCCCACGTCCAACTCCTCTCGTAGCCGTCCAGCGGGTGCCTCGAGCCTTCGGGGGACGAAAGGAGACGCGTTGCGGATAGTTGATGGCTTACTCCACCCCTACAATAACCCACGACACAAATTTCTTTCACTTTTTGATATTAAAATTAATCTTACCCATAAAAATCGTGGGAATGAAGTGAATCCAACGACATATTCTCATAGATTTCCTTAATAATTTATTAACATTTTTAATTTAATTAATTTCGATTTGGCTTTATCGTTACGTGATTAACGCGATTTTTTTGAAACGGTTGGAATTGTTCGGCTTCATCGTCGGTTACGATGAGGGGGTTTGTTTTAATTTTAAGGGGCGTGATTTTGTTAAGGGATAACTCGACATAACGCCACTTTGAACAAGGGCAGCGGGAGCGGCAGCATCCGCTGGACCCGACGGAGGCGGTGGCAGCGTCGCGACGTCGTATAAACTCGTTTCGGTGTCGCTACGTTTCGGCGCGATCGAATTCTCCACCACCCTCGGACTTTCAAGAATAGGGGCGGCTATTTTAAATGATACATCAACTTGAAAACCTTTTAAAGATCACTTTAAAAGATAAAAACTTAACAATTAAGTTTTTTCCGAACATTTTATTCTGTTTTTGAATGTTAACAACAATTTTTTTTAATTTTTTCGTAAAAATTCGTAATCTACATAAAAAATCCTCTAAAATGAGCCCAAACTCGATGGGGTTATCTTTAAAAATAAGAAAGATAACCTAAAAACCTATCCGCCATTTTGAAAAATTTGTATGAATTAACCCCATCGAATTTGGTGTCATTTTAAACGATTTTCGTTGCTGATTACGAATTTTAACTTAAATATACAAAAGAGAAATTTTTAATTCATCCCAAGCGAACATAACCTAAATTATAAAATAGAAATATTTTTAATTAACGCTTTTTTTTGACATTTTCATTTAAGAAATGAAACATCGTTTAAAATGAGTCCAAACTCGATGGGGTTATCTTTAAAAGTAAGAAAGATAACCTAAAAACCTATCCGCCATTTTGAAAAATTTGTATGAATTAACCCCATCAAGTTTGGTGTCATTTTAAAGGATTTTAGTTGTAGATTACGAATTTTAACTTAAATAGAAAAAAAAAAAATTTTAATTTATCCAAAACGAATATAACCTAAATGATAAAATTGACATATTTTTAATTAACACTTTTTTCTTGACATTTTCTTTTAAGAAATGAAAAGTCGTTTAAAATGAGTCCAAACTCGATGAGGTTATCTTTAAAAATAAAAAAGGTAACCTAAAAACCTATCCGCCATTTTGAAAAATTTGTATGAGGTAACCCCATCGAGTTTGGTGTCATTTTAAAAGATTTTCGTTGCAGATTACGAATTTTTACTTAAATATACAAAAAAGAAATTTTCAATTCATTCCAAAAAAAGCATAACCTAAGTTATAAAATTGACATATTTTTAATTAACACTTTTTTATTGTCTTTTTCATTTAAAGAATGAAAAATCGTTTAAAATGAGTCTAAACTCGGTAAGGTTATCTTTAAAAATAAGAAAGATAACCTAAAAATCTATCTGCCATTTTGAAAAATTTGTTTGAATTGATTTTGAGGTAACCCCATCGAGTTTGGTGTCATTTTAAAGGATTTTCGTTGCAGATTACGAATTTTAACTTAAAATCATAAAAAAATAACATTTATACTAAACGAATATAACCTAAATGATGAAATTGACATATTNGAAAAATTTGTATGAATTAACCCCATCAAGTTTGGTGTCATTTTAAAGGATTTTAGTTGTAGATTACGAATTTTAACTTAAATAGAAAAAAAAAAAATTTTAATTTATCCAAAACGAATATAACCTAAATGATAAAATTGACATATTTTTAATTAACACTTTTTTCTTGACATTTTCTTTTAAGAAATGAAAAGTCGTTTAAAATGAGTCCAAACTCGATGAGGTTATCTTTAAAAATAAAAAAGGTAACCTAAAAACCTATCCGCCATTTTGAAAAATTTGTATGAGGTAACCCCATCGAGTTTGGTGTCATTTTAAAAGATTTTCGTTGCAGATTACGAATTTTTACTTAAATATACAAAAAAGAAATTTTCAATTCATTCCAAAAAAAGCATAACCTAAGTTATAAAATTGACATATTTTTAATTAACACTTTTTTATTGTCTTTTTCATTTAAAGAATGAAAAATCGTTTAAAATGAGTCTAAACTCGGTAAGGTTATCTTTAAAAATAAGAAAGATAACCTAAAAATCTATCCGCCATTTTGAAAAATTTGTTTGAATTGATTTTGAGGTAACCCCATCGAGTTTGGTGTCATTTTAAAGGATTTTCGTTGCAGATTACGAATTTTAACTTAAAATCATAAAAAAATAACATTTATACTAAACGAATATAACCTAAATGATGAAATTAAAATATTTTTAATCATTTCATGGTTGACACCTTCATTAAAGGCATAAAAAATCGTTTAAAATGAGTCCAAACTCGGTGAGGTTATTTTGAAAAATAAAAAAGTTAACCTAAAAACATATCCGCCATTTTGAAAATTTTGTGTGAGTTGATTTTGAGTTAACCACGTCGAGTTTGGTGTCATTTTAAAGGATTTTTGTTGTAGATTACGAATTTTAATTTAAAATCACAAAGAAATCACTTTTATCCGGAACAAATATAACCTAAATGATGAAATTAAAATATTTTTAATCATTTTATGGTTGATACCTTTATTTAAGGCATAAAAAAATCGTTTAAAATGAGTCCAAACTCGGTGAGGTTATCTTTAAAAATAAGAAAGATAACCTAAAAACTATCCGCCATTTTGAAAAACTTTATTTGAGTTGATTTTGAGATAAGTCCATCGAGTTTGGTGTCATTTTAAAGGATTTTTGATGTGGATTACGAATTTTAAGTTAAAATTAAAAAAAATTTATTTTTATAGTAAACGGATATAACCTAAATGATGAAATTAAAATATTTTTAATTATATCATGGTTGACATTTTCATTTAAGACATAAAAAATCGTTTAAAATGAGTCCAAACTCGATGAGGTTATCTTTAAAAGTAAAAAAGATAACCTAAAAACCTATCCGCCATTTTGAAAATTTTGTTTGATTTGATTTTGAGATAACCCCATCGAGTTTGGTGTCATTTTAAAAGATTTTTGTTGTAGATTGCGTATTTTAATTTAAAATCATAAAAAAATCATTTTTATCCTAAACGAATATAACCTAAATGATGAAATTAACATATTTTTAATCATTTTATGATTGATATCTTTATTTGAGGCATAAAAAATCGTTTAAAATGAGTCCAAACTCGATGAGGTTATCTTTAAAAGTAAAAAATATAACCTAAAAACCTATCCGCCATTTTGAAAATTTTGTATGAGTTGATTTTGAGATAACCCCATCGAGTTTGGTGTCATTTTAAAGGATTTTTGTTGTAGATTACGAATTTTAACTTAAAATCAGAAAAAAATCACTTTTATCTTAAACGAATATAACCTAAATGATGAAATTAAAATATTTTTAATCATATCATGGTTGACATTTTAATTTAGGACATAAAAAATCGGTTAAAATGAG